TGCCTTTCAGGTTCAATGTCTTGAGCGGCAGAACCAGGCTCTGGTGGCCAAATGGGAACTTCTGCAGCAGCAAAGTGCCCAACCAGAAGAGAGCAGAAATATCACCTCTTTCTTCCAGTCTTACATCAGCAACCTGCAGAGGCAGCTAGAAACACTCCAGAACCAGAAGGAGCAGCTGGATCCAGAAGCGTATAATATGCTTCAGCTTGTTGAAGATTATAAAAAGAGGTGAATAATCACAAGTCTGGGAAAAAGCATACTGGAATTTTCCAAGGTGATGCTAATCATACCCTGGGATGGCATAGCTTAGCTTGGCACCTTCAAGAGTTTTGTAGCCATTACAGCACTACTCTGAAGTAGGTTCATTACGGGACTTGACTTCCACACTGGAAGACTAAAGCAGATTTGGTGAGGGTAGAACCTGGAACAGGAAGAGGAAAATCAAAGGCGCTGTAGATTTATCCCACTCTTCTCTCCTCCTGTCCTCCTTCATGACCCTCCTCCCGCAAGCAGTGAGTAACTCGGGGCTCCTGACTCTTGCTGGTAGTTGTGGAGTTGTTGTCAGCCTGGACAGTGGGGAGGGGAGGGACAGCACTAGAGCAGTGGGGTCAAGTTGAGAAGAGCCATCACTTCTTATGGCTTAGCTGCATCCAAAAGATAATACATGTCCACAGCTCTGAAAAATGGGAATTTAGTTCAGAATTACAGACTGTTAGAACTGATCTATATCAATCACATTTTGTTGGGTAATTTAGCATATAGTTTTGCAGAGGGTTTGCAAGTGCCTTTGCAGTTGCCAGAAATTGCAGCCAAATTCTGATCCACTTGGCTGAAAAAGTACGATAGGCAATGAGCTACCTATTTCTTTTCTCTGCTGCAACAGATTCGAGGACGAGATCAACAAGCGTGCGTCTAAAGAAGAAGAGTTTGTGGAGTTTAAAAAGGTGAAGTAATCCAAGCCACTGAGCTAAATCAAAGCCTCAGAAATAAAGCAATAACTGGATGGTTGCTGAGGCTTTCAAAAACAAGGTCTTTGCTTAACTTCATCTAACTTTCCTCTAACTGGAGTAATTGAAAACTTGAGCTTTTTACTGCAAGACTGGACAGAAATAATTTCCTCTAGAGACTGAATCGGTCCTTTGTAAGATGAATGTCTAAAAAGAGCTGGTCTTTCTCTATTCTTTCAATCATGACCTAGCTGAGACATCATAATTAGGGGTTAAATAATGTCTGTATATGGCTTAGATAGGAGAATAGAAAATTTAGACAACTTTTAATTAGAAGAATTAATGAAATGTTTCTACATTTTTCTCCAGGAACACATTTATTGCCACAGCTATTTTGCTTATTTCCAAGTCATTCTTTTCTTCTAAGAGTTAAAAACTTTCCCTTTGTTCCAATTGCTTTTCAAATGAAATCTGAGATTTGTGGGCTATTGTTTGACTCCAAGAGCGAAGGTTTTAAAGAAATGGACCAAGTCTTGCAGAAATTGCACTTCAGTGGAGAATTTGGATCAAGGAAATGCAAATACGCCTATGGCTTTTTTTACAGGAACTGGACAGTGCCTACATGGGAAAAATGGAGTTTGATATTCGGGTGGAAATACTGAGGCAGGAGCTTGAGTTCCTCAGATGTTTACACGAAGCCGTGAGTATGCTTCTCAGATTAAAAACTTACCCTCCGGTCTTGAAGGACATGTATCTTTTGGAGGTTCCCAGAAATTTTGCCTGAAGAGGACTTTTTGGTGTGGAGTGGATCATCCTTGGCCTTTGATCTTATAAAGTTCTTTTTAATCTGTGAGTGAAAAGGGGGTCTGGTACGTCACAAAGACTGGAAGAGACACTTGAAAATTAAAACTGGTGGTGGAACAATAGGACCTGGGGGGTGCAGGGAGGGAAGTTCCAGTGGGTAACTGGCCAGAGGGTTTAATTTCTTTCTTCATAACATGACCTGGACTGTTAAAATCCAAAATTTTGTTTTCCTTGCAGGAGCTATCCCAGCTACAAACAGTGGTTGGCAACACCAATGTAATTCTGTCCATGGACAACCATAGAGAACTGAACATGGATGGAATCATTGAAGAAGTCAGGCAGGAGTATGAGACAATTGCTCAGAGAAGCAAAGCTGAAGTAGCTGCCATGTATCAGGGCAGGGTGAGTAGACATCAACAAGATAGGGAGGCAAGTCTGTCTGCTCAGTATAAAAGAGACCAAAAATGTCTGTTCTTTTCTCCACACATCAGTACCAGGATCTTCAGAACATGTGGGTAAATCAACGTGAGCAACTGAGGAGCAGTTACCAGGAAATCCAGGAACTTACCAGGCAGATCCAAAGACTACAACCAGAAATTGAAATTGCAAGGAAAAAGGTAAAGCTGATACTTTCCAACATGACTGAACTACTTAAGTCACTTTTAGGGGACTTAGTGCAATATAGTGTAGCCTGCCCTTTGGAAGCAAACCTAGAGATGATGTTTTCTCTTAAAAATGAAGCAGATTCATATTTTGGCTATCTGCACTTGGGTTTTTGATTTGGGTTAATTTACCCAGTCTAATGTATCTTCTGAGTTCTGTCACCGAGGCAGGTTTTTTAATTTCCAAGGACTGTAGAAGGGTTTGAAAATCCTAGTGCCATAGAAGGGAATGTTTGTGCCCTCTGCAGAATGCCAACCTCCAAGAAACAATTAAAGATGCTGAGCAGCGTGGGAGCTCTGCCATCAAAGATGGACAGCAAAAGCTTCAGGAGTTGGAAAATGCCCTGCAGCAGGCCAAAGATGATCTCGCTCGCCTTCTTCATGATTATCAGGAGCTCCTGAGTGTGAAATTGGCCCTGGATATTGAAATTGCCATGTACAGATCACTCCTTGAGGAGGAAGAGACCAGGTAGGTACAAACTATTAATCCTGGATAGAAGCACCTGTACAAAGCAGTGCGTCCATTCTTCAATCTCTCACTTACATTTCCAGGATGAATTGCTGCCTGGAGGGAGTGACCTCTCTCATTGGCTTATTGATAGAACATAGCCTGATTTTTACTTCTGTTGGATGCATTATCTCAATGTCACTTTTCCTTCACAGGATACAGGAAGGCTCACCAGCCACAATCTGTGAGTATCTCAAGGCCTTGCTTTGCCTTTTTAAGTGCACTCTTACCATTTTGCAGTCTTTGGTACGTAACATCTACCATCAGAACAACCTGTCTTAGTTCCTATCTTAGTTTCCTAGGGAAATGAAGCAAATGGTAGTCTCTTGTGAGTGTGTGTGTGAATACACATGTATATGCATTAATATGTCAACACTGAGCTACTGACTTTGGAACTTATTGGCCAATTTCAATCAAATTTGTAGGAAGTCGAAGACACCTCACTTATTCTATAGGTCTATGTGGTGCATGTCAGAACTGAATGAAAAAAAAATCTAGTCTTAAATTTGTGGAAATAGGAGGCCAGCTAAAAGAGAGAGAAACCCATACTCTAGGCCTTCTTAAAGGAAGGGATGTACTGAGTATTGATGTATGGACTAAGACATAAGTCATGTTAAAGATAAGCTAATAAAGCCAGAACCACATGCGAAAATATTTCATAGGTACACCTACTAATGAAGATCCTTGTTGCCCCTTTTCAAAGATATGACTATGACCAAAAGAGTAGGTACAATGATGGCCATACAGAAGTACTTACATAAGTGTTAGTAATTATTTTGGGTAAAAAGAACAAGGTGGACATCATTTCCATTTCTTGCAGGTGTCATTGACCACAATGCAAGTGCTACTGGAGGCCTTAAACTTGGATCTGGAGACTTGAAAAGTGGGAAGGGGCAGCTGCGCTCTGTGGATGCCAGCAAGAACAGAAAGAAGGGATCAATATGTGGAGGAGGAAAAGGTGAAAGTTCTGGAGGATGGGGATCCTCCTCTGGTAGTGGCGGGTCCATATGTGGAGGTGACCACAGTTCTGGTGGGTGGGGACCGAATTCTGGCAGTGATGGATCAACCTGTGGAGGACAAGGAAGATCAGGCAGCAGAGGCTCAATCACTGGAGGCGGTCACAGCTCTGGTGGGTGGGGACACAGATCTGGTGGTGGCAAAAAAGGGTCTGTCTCTGGAGGTGAAGGAGGAGGAAGCTCATGTCATCGAGGATCAAAATCGGGCAGAGGCGGGTCCATCTGTGGAGGAGGAGGAAGCTCAGACAGGCAAGGCTCCATCTGTGGAGGTGGAGGAGGAGAGAGCTCTGGCAGTGGTGGCACCATTTGCGGAGGAGGAGGGAGCTCAGGTCATGGAGGATCGAGCTCTGGCAGTGGTGGGTCCATCTGTGGAGGAGGGGGAAGCTCAGGTCAGGGAGGAATGAGCTCTGGCAGTGGTGGGACCATTTGCGGAGGAGGGGGGAGCTCAGGTCATGGAGGATCGAGCTCTGGCAGTGGTGGGTCCATCTGTGGAGGAGGGGGAAGCTCAGGTCAGGGAGGAATGAGCTCTGGCAGTGGTGGGACCATTTGCGGAGGAGGGGGGAGCTCAGGTCATGGAGGATCGAGCTCTGGCAGTGGTGGGTCCATCTGTGGAGGAGGGGGAAGCTCAGGTCAGGGAGGAATGAGCTCTGGCAGTGGTGGGACCATTTGCGGAGGAGGGGGGAGCTCAGGTCATGGAGGATCGAGCTCTGGCAGTGGTGGGTCCATCTGTGGAGGAGGGGGAAGCTCAGGTCAGGGAGGAATGAGCTCTGGCAGTGGTGGGACCATTTGTGGAGGAGGGGGAAGTTCAGGAAGGCGAGGCTCCATCACTGGAGGTGGTCACAGCTCTGCTGGGTGGGGATCCAGCTCTGGTAGTGGTGGCTCCATCTGTAGAGGTGGAGGAGGAGGCTCAGGGTATGGAGGAGGAGGAAGCTCCGGAGGCGGCAGCTCCATCTGTGGAGGTGGCCACAGCTCCGG